GTTTTTGGCGGTAAGTCTATTATAGTGTTTGGAGATCTGAAGCAGCTGTGCCCAGTAGGAGATCGGTGGATATTCCTAGAGAATATCTCAAATCCGTATAACATTCTGGCTGGCACAAACCTGTGGAGTAATTTTAGGTATTTCGAGCTAACAGAAATAATGAGGCAACGGGACGATCATGCATTTGCTTTGGCTTTGAATAACATGTCAGAAGCTAACATGACAGATGCAGATGTGGTGCTTTTTAGGCAAAGAGTTGTCACGCCAAACGACGTTCCGGATGACGCAATCCACTTATTTGCTTCCAATGACGAGGTTAATCAGTACAACGCCTTAAAGCTCGCTCAAATCGCCACAGAAGAGTTTGTTTCAACTGCCATAGATACTGTGAAATCAGCTAATATGTCAGTAAGAAATAAAGAAACAACTCTCAGAAATGCCCAAAATATGAAAACGTCCGAAACCCAGGGACTGCCATATATTCTGCATCTAAAAACAACAGCAAAGTATATGGTTACCGTCAATATAGATACAAATGATGGACTGGTAAATGGGGCAACAGGCCAATTAATGCAGATTGACAACTGCATGGTAAACAACGTTAGGTTAGTAACAAAACTTTGGATTAAGTTTTCAGATCCTACAGTTGGTGCCATGGCCAGGTCAAAAGTTCGGAGAAATGATCATCCAGATTGGACTCCAATTGAAAAAACAGCTCGAGTATTCCAATGCGGAAGCTCAGGACATTCTTCGGTTGATCGAAAACAATTCCCTGTTGTTCCTGCTGAGGCTATAACTATACATAAAAGCCAAGGAGCAACCTACAGCAAAGTCGCAGTGCACCTTAAAAGGGGCATTAAGCGAGCTTCGCTTTACGTAGGTTGCAGCAGAGCAACAAGCGCATCGGGTCTTTTCCTTTTAGGAGACTTTGTTCCTCCAACTAGATTTGGAGCTACAAATGTCCAAGCAGAGCTAGAAAGCTTAAGAGGTGAAAAGGCCTTGACTACGCAGTATGAATTATTGATCAATGGGGATAATGCCATCTCCATGTATTATCACAACATTGAGTCTCTTCGCGCTCATCGCGAAGACATTGCCAATGACAACATTATTTGTTCTGCAAACTTTTTATGTTTTGTTGAAACCTGGACTCTTCCCCAGGAAGAGTACAACTTAAGGGATTTCGACATTATCAGAAGAATTGATAACAATCGGTTAAATGGTATTGGGAAAAACGGAATACTCATATATGCTAAACAAAGTATTTCGTCAAATGTGCAATTTCTTTTTGAGACAAAGAAATCGCCAAGTCCCAGAGCAACCTATCAATCGATTGTTTTTAAATATCTTGACACGTCATTTATAATTGTGTATAGGAGTCCCGGATTTCCTATTGCAAGATTTCGAAATGAAATTAAATCTGAAGTTGAAAAAGTACGCAGAATGGATAATAATAAAGTGGTAATATTAGGAGATTTTAATATCTGCAGATCCTCAGCGAGCGATGTTTTGGAGGAATTTTTGAATGGACATAATCTTTTGTCATTGAATAATTCTGCAACGACAAAACACCAAACCCAAATTGATTGGATATTTTCTGACTCTCGAGTTCCAGAAGCTGTTGCCCTTACATATAAAACACCTTATAGCCATCATGATGGTATTTTTTTTTAAATATAGCTTGTAAGAGTGTATACTTAAGTTATTTAACAAATTATGGCTATAAGTAGAATTTATTGTAAATATAGTATTGTAAATATATAAAAAAAATTGAAAATATTAACAAATTTTCCAATATATTTCATATTTAGCTATAATTTCCCCCTCGTGGATTGAGACCTTGTCGTGGTGTGGGGGCTTAGTACGTGAATTTCGAAAAAAATAAAATTTACTGAAACTAACCGCAATCCTTACTTAAACTTAAACTCTTAAACTATTTTTTATTTTTTTACTTACTGCAAGGGTATTTCAACTTCGGCTAGCCGAAGTTAGCTTCCTTTCTTGTTTAAATAAAGATTAAATATATTTATTTTAAGAAGCCCTGATTTAAGAAAATTCGCTAAAATTATGGAATTTGATACCCTTTTTGATTGGGTTATCGCTTAATTTTGTATTTTTTCTCCGTGTACCCCTCACACTCACACACACACATGCCTCTCGACAGCGCGAAGGGGAAAAGGTGGAGGAGACCAAAAACTCCGAAGGAGGCTCGTCGTCATGATCTTGGCGGCTGCTGTGCTGCCGCTGTCACAGTCGCCGTCGCCGTCGCAGTCGCTGCTCTGCCGACGCACGATCGTGATCGAACTGACCTCAAGTGGTCGCTGCCGGCAGACTCTCCCCAATCGCCCCACTCACCCATCCCCCTCAACTCTCTCACGCACACTTATGCTCACACGGGAGATGTATGCAGACTGGAATTTGCGCGTTTAAAGTTAACAATTTATTTGCATTATTAATTTTCATGTTGTACCTGCAGCCCTACACCTAGAGAAAAAATAAGTCCTTTATAAACTTTATTGATTAGAAGGGAATTATGTATAAGATTAGTAGAAGTTTAAGATTTCCCAACCACTAAAATGTATTAAATACCAAGTAAAAAATGCGCTATAAATTACTTTTATCATTAATTTAGATCTAATTCTAAAGACAAAAAGAATCAGAATTTATAAGGATAAAAGTCAGCTTCATTTCTTTTCTAATATCCTTTGATTAATAAAATGTATTCAAAATTAACGAAACAACAAAATATACAACCAATTCTGAACATTCATATTTAAATTTTATTAAAACCAAACCAACTTTCCTGAGTGCATATCCGCAAGTTGGTCAAGCAAGCGTTACTCCGCTTCCAGCACTCTTCCGATGGCGTGGAGGACACACTGGACAGCGGCATCTTCTATTTTAGGTCTAACTTGTTAACTCGTTGTGGACAGCCAACCGGCTTCGGTTACCCCCGTGTGGAACGCGAGTAGGTAATTCAAGTTAGCTACAAAAATAGAACCTTAATTTATTGTTGCCACCATTCCTGGCCGCTGTCCGAGGATCGCTCTATAGTTGGCAGCAGTGGGTTGTCCATACATGGTCATATCATTTTCATTTTTCACGGTGGCGTCGCATCTACGCACACGCCCCACCGTTTTCTTCCGCCTCCTTGTTGCGAAATAAACGCTGGCCAAGCGAAAGTGAAACCTATGCCTGGTCGTCTATGATGATGATGATGCAGTGCAGCATTCTCGAGTACAGTAATCAAAGGAGTACTTACCTTGGTACAGTGTGCTTTAAAATATAAATAAGAGCTTGATCCTTATAAAAAAATGTTTGTTTTTATATTTAAATGAAACATAAATTTCATTTTTCTCAATATTTTATTTTTTATAAAAGTAACGACTATGATTTATGGCGAACTTAGCTAGAAAACACTTATTTATTATTTAACTTAAAATTCTAATGATACATTCAAGGGAATTCTGTTTTTAAAGCTGCCTAACTATTCGTTATTTGCAACTTAATTAACAAGTAGTAGCCTTTTTTTATTGTGTTCGTGAAATGATCGTAAAATCTTTGCAAATAAAAAAATATTTTTAAGCGCAGTAAACAGGCTGAAACGGAAATACATAAACTATTTTATGGTTTAAATTGTTTAATTGGGGTCATTGATCTTTGAATATTTGAGAATTAATTAGAAGTAACCTTGGTTATATATAATAAAGTGCATTTAAATATAACTATAAACTAAATATAAACCAATACATTTTAGGAATAAAAAGTACCTAACCACTAAATTTTTGTAGTTATTTCTTAATTTTAAAAATAAATAAATTTCAGAGTAACCACTGTATGCAAACCAGCATTAATTGCTTTTGCAGCGCACTTGGAGTATCATTATATCAATTTCCTCCTTTTTCCCCTGTCATAACGACACTGTGATCCCCGTAAATTATAAACCAGACATAGTGCCACGCCCAGTCCCGTCGCCAGTAACGCCCGCCCCCGCCCAAACTGACGCCATCATCATCAGCTTTTGGGGACATTGTGCCAAGTGCTTAGTTCCGAAACGAAATATCGTGATAAACACATTCACAAACAGTATTAATTGATGTAGCCACAAAAAAACCCTAAAAATCAACAAACAATCAACTGTCATCGCAATTTAAGACGAAATATATAAAAAATACTGTTGCAAAAATAATAATAATAATAATAACAACAATAAAAATTGACAGGCACATGCTAATGAAGGTAAGCGTTCGCCGAAATGAACCTGATGAGGTTTATTAGGCCTCGGACAAATGGCTGAAATGGCCAGAAACGTGTTTCCATAAAAAATCACCGACAATATGGCTGTCACGTGAGACCCAAAACCGATCCGAACCCCGATCCGCGATGAGTCAGCGACCGACCCAGGCTGATGAGGCCCCCGAGCGATTTCCATGCGAGCGAGTGAGTGAGGTGAGTGTATTCGCGGTACTCATTAATAACCCGCAAACACATTCGCGCTGTCAGTTAGCTGAAGGAGGCCTTTACCCTTGACCATATTTTGACAGGCAGCATAACCACATGGTCAGCTCTGAGATTGGAGATACAAGATCCACGATCCGAGGACCGTTAGGAACCAATAATCCAAGACAATCGATCTATAGCCTGCTACCTGGGCAATAACTCACTTTTTTTTTTTGGCATGCGCTGATTGACGGACAGATGTGTCCAGGCCAGGCAGGGGATACCTACGTTTGAGCTCTACCTGGTTCTGGCTGGGTTTAGATTGCGCCAGATTCCGCCGGCTTGTTTACGAACGTCGCACACAAAGCGTGCAGGTAAAACATGGAAGCAAACGCCTCGTAGAAACATGAAACCCTTCAAAATACGGCATTGCCAGTTTGAAAATGAAAAAAACTACTGAATTGGCTATAGTAATTGGCTAAAAACAGCCTAACCCGGGTTAGGATCATGTTTATTTATGAGGAAGTATGGTTGAAACGAAAGACTCAGGATTAATCAGGGATTGTGTTAACACGTGTTCTTAAGAGATAGTTAAGAGGTACCTGGATAATTAACTTTCTGTTGAGATGTTTCATTTATTATTTAATACTTAATAAGCAAGCCTTACATTTTCCGTTTTTATTTCACACAAAACTAACCCATACGGCAACAAAGATAGTTAACTAAATTACAGGAAGATGCCGTATCTTTATGGCATTGCGGATACCAAGTTCTTCAAGAAGATCAAGACAAAGTCACAGAAAGATGCCTCAGTGGTGCTGCCGCCCTTCAAGTTCCGGCGGAACGAGTTTCTCCAGGCATGTCCGAAATATGATAAGGACGATATGCCTATTCAGTTTAGGGCTACACCTGCTCCCCTCGTGGAGCTCTGCACGATCGTGGTGGACAAGCTGCCACTGCCACCCATGTTCGAGTGGGATGACATGGACATTAGGCGCTGGATTCATAGCTACGGTTATCCTCAGTACATGGTGGGAAATAATTTAATATTTAAAAATATATATTTCCTCCAACCTTTAACCCCCAACCTCTTTGTCAGAACACCTTCCGTGTTAATATGATCACAGGCCGAAAGCTGCTCCTGCTGGACGCCTGCGCCCTGAGTGCCATGAACATCAAGGACTTTGATCACATTCGTCACATCACCTACGGCATTCGAATGCTGTTTCACTTCGAGCTGACCAAGTTCTCGTCCAGCATATCGCTGCCTGATGAGAAGCCCAACGAACTGTACCTGCTGTTCCACACGCAGACCGGCGTAAACTATGACGAGGTGCGTCGTAGCGATCTGTACAGGCGGATGCAGTTGATCCGAGAGCGTTCCCGCAATCTTGATCACTGGGATCTGCTGTACCTGTGGCTGCGACGCGAGCGGGAGCACAAATACCAGGAGATCATCGGTCTGACGCGGCGCACCAAATTGTTCAAGTGCAAGGAGGCGGTGGTAGAAAAGCGTATTCCGCAGTGCTTGGAGCCGGAGGATCTTATGTGCCAGACCTGCATGCCGCCGTGCGACTGCGACTGGACGAAGCGGGAGCTAAGGCTGCCATGGCGCTTCAGCTGCCTCACCCCGGTACTGGCAACGACCATGAGCAAGTGGAAGGACACTCAAACGCAGTGCACGTCCTGCATACCGCCCTGCGAATGCCACTGGCCACCACGCTACTATCTCACCGGCACGGTCATCAACTGTCTGCAGCACAAGTTCCCGGAGAAGTTCTGTCCCATTTTCGATGAGCGATACAAGGCCTCGGAACGTCCCAGTATCGTGGAGCGTTGGACAAGGTTCTCCATTTAGTCCTTTATTTTTTACGTAGTTGTCTTACCTAGATGTTGGGTTTACTTCGAGTCTTTGGTATATTAAATGGTTTTCAAAATAATAATAATAATAATATACCCTACATGTGTTCAATTTATAGAAATTAAATTAAATTAAACTAAAATTATTTATATGTGGACGTGTATCAAGTTGCACTTTAATAATGATTTTAACAAAAATTGTCTTTATATTTTTTTAAATTACATTAATTAACAAATCAAAACTGGATTTCTTCATAGCCTATTGTTATTCCTAATTACAATATACAAATGTTTTTAGTTGAACAAAATAGCTGCCAAAACAGAAACAGAAAATTCACAAAATTCCACAAAACTAAAGCGTTGTGAATAATATATAGTATATATATTTTGTTATATTTTTCCTAGCTTAGCCAGCCGTTTTTTAATCCGCTTGACTGATAAGCATTAGTAGTACTTTTCACACATTTTTACACATTTCTCCACTAATCGAAATTGGCCGATGGAGGGTTAACGTTAACTATCCGCGGCGATTTGCACCGATCATATAATGGATAATGGCAGCTGCGAACTGTAATCGAACTGACAGCGCTGGGAAAGTAAGAAGAGGATCAGGAGAAAGAGAAAGAGCAGGAGCAGGAGAAAGAGAGCAGAGCGGAGGGAGGAGAAAGAGAGTAGAGCGGGAGTGAGGAGAAACATGGCAAGAGGAGAATTAAGGTACAGCATAAAAATAAAAATAAAATAAACGGCGCAAGAATTTGAATTTTGCATCCCACGAACAACAAACCAAAGGCGACGACGACGACGAACGTCAGCCGAGGCAGCGGCAGCGGCAGAGGCAGTGGCAGCAGCAGAGCCCCAACCAGCAACCCCAACCAGCAAGCAGAGGCAAAAACAACGACAGCAGCATGAGCGTCGGGCAGCGCTGCCGGCGTCAGCCCGAGGAAAGAAAGAAAAAGGCGCCGTCGAGCAGGCCGCATTTTCAGTTCAGTTCCAACGCTCCGAGTGAACAGTTTCGAGTCTTGATATCGAACTCGGCTCCGACTTCGAATATCGTTCGACTCAGTTCTAGAATCGCCTGCGCTTGCGCCAGCAGAAGTAGTCACCACCTCCCGAATGCTGTTTCAAAAATAATCAACAGCTGTCCGTTCAATACTCTAAAAATAATAAAAATAAAGTAAAAGCTGTCTGCTGTCCGGGAGTGCTTCGAGCTTGCTACTTAATCTGTTCAGAAACTAAAAAATAAAAAAAACAAGAAAGGAAGCTAACTTCGGCTAGCCGAAGTTGAAATACCCTTGCAGTAAGTAAAAAAATAAAAAATAGTTTAAGAGTTTAAGTTTAAGTAAGGATTGCGGTTAGTTTCAGTAAATTTTATTTTTTTCGAAATTCACGTACTAAGCCCCCACACCACGACAAGGTCTCAATCCACGAGGGGGAAATTATAGCTAAATATGAAATATATTGGAAAATTTGTTAATATTTTCAATTTTTTTTATATATTTACAATACTATATTTACAATAAATTCTACTTATAGCCATAATTTGTTAAATAACTTAAGTATACACTCTTACAAGCTATATTTAAAAAAAATACCATCATGATGGCTATAAGGTGTTTTATATGTAAGGGCAACAGCTTCTGGAACTCGAGAGTCAGAAAATATCCAATCAATTTGGGTTTGGTGTTTTGTCGTTGCAGAATTATTCAATGACAAAAGATTATGTCCATTCAAAAATTCCTCCAAAACATCGCTCGCTGAGGATCTGCAGATATTAAAATCTCCTAATATTACCACTTTATTATTATCCATTCTGCGTACTTTTTCAACTTCAGATTTAATTTCATTTCGAAATCTTGCAATAGGAAATCCGGGACTCCTATACACAATTATAAATGACGTGTCAAGATATTTAAAAACAATCGATTGATAGGTTGCTCTGGGACTTGGCGATTTCTTTGTCTCAAAAAGAAATTGCACATTTGACGAAATACTTTGTTTAGCATATATGAGTATTCCGTTTTTCCCAATACCATTTAACCGATTGTTATCAATTCTTCTGATAATGTCGAAATCCCTTAAGTTGTACTCTTCCTGGGGAAGAGTCCAGGTTTCAACAAAACATAAAAAGTTTGCAGAACAAATAATGTTGTCATTGGCAATGTCTTCGCGATGAGCGCGAAGAGACTCAATGTTGTGATAATACATGGAGATGGCATTATCCCCATTGATCAATAATTCATACTGCGTAGTCAAGGCCTTTTCACCTCTTAAGCTTTCTAGCTCTGCTTGGACATTTGTAGCTCCAAATCTAGTTGGAGGAACAAAGTCTCCTAAAAGGAAAAGACCCGATGCGCTTGTTGCTCTGCTGCAACCTACGTAAAGCGAAGCTCGCTTAATGCCCCTTTTAAGGTGCACTGCGACTTTGCTGTAGGTTGCTCCTTGGCTTTTATGTATAGTTATAGCCTCAGCAGGAACAACAGGGAATTGTTTTCGATCAACCGAAGAATGTCCTGAGCTTCCGCATTGGAATACTCGAGCTGTTTTTTCAATTGGAGTCCAATCTGGATGATCATTTCTCCGAACTTTTGACCTGGCCATGGCACCAACTGTAGGATCTGAAAACTTAATCCAAAGTTTTGTTACTAACCTAACGTTGTTTACCATGCAGTTGTCAATCTGCATTAATTGGCCTGTTGCCCCATTTACCAGTCCATCATTTGTATCTATATTGACGGTAACCATATACTTTGCTGTTGTTTTTAGATGCAGAATATATGGCAGTCCCTGGGTTTCGGACGTTTTCATATTTTGGGCATTTCTGAGAGTTGTTTCTTTATTTCTTACTGACATATTAGCTGATTTCACAGTATCTATGGCAGTTGAAACAAACTCTTCTGTGGCGATTTGAGCGAGCTTTAAGGCGTTGTACTGATTAACCTCGTCATTGGAAGCAAATAAGTGGATTGCGTCATCCGGAACGTCGTTTGGCGTGACAACTCTTTGCCTAAAAAGCACCACATCTGCATCTGTCATGTTAGCTTCTGACATGTTATTCAAAGCCAAAGCAAATGCATGATCGTCCCGTTGCCTCATTATTTCTGTTAGCTCGAAATACCTAAAATTACTCCACAGGTTTGTGCCAGCCAGAATGTTATACGGATTTGAGATATTCTCTAGGAATATCCACCGATCTCCTACTGGGCACAGCTGCTTCAGATCTCCAAACACTATAATAGACTTACCGCCAAAAACTACGTCTTGGCTTCTAAAAATTTGTCGAAGTCTTTGATCTAAATATCCTAGCGTTTTAGATCCGACCATCGAGATTTCATCGATGATAATTAATTGGAGGTCTATTAGCTTGCAATGCATTGTGTTTATGGAGTCATTGCTTAAAGGTCTTAAAGGACCTGATGTTTGATTCACTGGAAGTGAGAAAACGGAATGAAGTGTAAGTCCTCCAATTCCAAAAGCTGCTTTTCCAGTAGGAGCACAAAGTAAGACCTTTGCAGAATCCGTTGCTCCCGGTAGCTTATTAGCTCGCCAAGTTATAGACTGATATATAGTTGAAATCAGTCTGCTTTTGCCAACTCCAGCACCTCCCCCAACATATTCATAAAATGTTTTTTTTGGCTGCTATATTATGCATTACGTGGGCATAATACTGACGTTGCTTTGCGTTAAGCGACCTGGACAGCGAGCAAAGGTTATCATCAGAAACTAACGGGGGAAGTCTAATTAGTTGAAGTTCGCCATCTTCTGTGTTATTTACAGCATTGTCATCTTGGAGTATATTAACGTTTTGTCCGACGTTTGGTACCGCCAAGGCCCTAAATTCTTCATCTAGATATTGAGAGGCAGGTTCCTGAGGTAGAAGCCCATTATCTTCTCTTTCAAAATTTTGCAAATCTTGAAGAACTCTCTCTAGTTCCATATCATCAAACACATCATATTGCTCTTTGTTGCGCTTAATGATTTCATGATTATTTCTGAATGTCATTTCATTGTCATTCGAAAGAAGTTCAGTCTCTTCATTTCTCCATGGGAAGAAAAGCATTACGTGCTCTCTGAAATAATCAGAAGGGGAAGAGTTTATGCTAAAGCGAACCCATCTAAGAATTAAGGCATGCTTGCGTCTTTTGACACTCCCAGTTCCATCTAGCAGTTGGTAGCTTTGGTTAGAAATGGGATTTTGTTCATTTAGTTCCAAGTCGATCGCTTCATCATAATCTTCGTTGGACGGTTCTGATGGTGCGTTTACCTTGGAAAATTTGTACCAAGCTGCAAATTCTGCAAGGCATATCGATTCTAAGTCTCCATGCCTCTGTACGTACCGATCAAGCAAGTTTTGCTCGAAAATGTCAGTTGAGTTCCCAGGAAGCTGCTCTAATTCTCTATTAGATCGCACTATCCGAACTCTTTTATCTGGATGGCAAGTGTTTACAAAAATATTTCCTTCACTTGCCTCAGACATGTGTAAGCCTAAAATGTTGTAGGCTGCTTCTTGGGCTGATATTTCCGTAGCATTAATAAATTTGCTCCCGAGATGCTGCAACTTTCTTTTTACTGAAATATTTCCATGGCTTATTTCAGTCATGGCTTCTCGAAGCAGTTGCGACACCCCACGGTTCGATTTGTTTATGTAGTTAATTATATAACTACAACAGGCAAATGCATCTAAGATAAACTGTATATCCATGTTTGCCCTATGTAGGCCCAGGATATCCCTGTTATAAGCATTTACCAACCTATCGGAAAATTTGCGGCGAAGAAATACCTGAGGCTTTTTCAAGCTTGATCGGATGGCGAACTTGTACTCTTCAAAACTTATCTGTAGATGGGTAAGAAAGTTTTCAAAATTATTAAAGACGGCTGCTTCTTCATCGGAAGTTGACTTTAAAAAGCTCTTTAATTTTTTTAAACATTTCTTTAAAATGTTCAACATTGGGTTCGTTGTCTTCTAACGGAAACAAAACCATTGTTTCAGGCATTGGAGGGTATGGCATTTGAAACCTGCAGAATTCCTGGCCACGCAGTTCTCTTAAACACGAAGAACTATGTTTATGCCGCTGATATTGAATTACTTCTTGCAATTCAGGATCGTCCCCTGTGGTTGTAATAAAACGATCAATGAAACTCACCACTTGATCGGAATTTTCTGGTCCTTCTAGCTTTGGAGCGCCAGAAAACCAATACATTCCATGAGAGTGGGGCGATCCTCTGTGCTGGAATTCTATCCTCCAATAATAATGGACCAGAGTAAACTCGCCAAAAATTTCGGAGCTTTTGAACAATTTAATTAATTGTCGAAACCTAAAGTCAAAGTATCGGGAGCATGTTACTGGGTCAGATCTTATTAATCTAGCTTTTTCGGCTGTAGAAAGAGATGCCGCTTCGTCTTCTGTAATATTTCTATTATCCAATAGACGAGAAAGAGTCACCAAAAGTTCATTCCATTTGGATTCCGCTGCGGAAAAAGTTATAAAAAAAGTAGGCAGCCCAAATTGCCTTATCATAGCTATGACTTTTTTTTTCTCAGCTTCCCAGTGAGCTGGAGCGGATCGAAGACCTTTTAGAATGTGATATCCGTCGTCATGCTGTACAAGGTTGTCAACAAACGAACTATCCATCACATTGGCAGCAGTTACGGAACCTGATTTTTTACGAAGGGCAATGGAGATTGAATTTTGAATTCGCTGCATTTCGTAAAATTTGTACATATAAAGTACCTTAGGTACTACTGCACAACGACGATCGTAAAAACGAATTTGCGATCTTGCTTTTTTTGCGTAGGTGGTTTTTGCTTTGAAAACAGCACCGCAAGAGATTGTTGGGAACGAAAGTTCTTCTGCATCTTCATCGAGGGTTAAATTAGTTGGCAGGCGCCCTTCTCCGGGGGCCAAAGCTATACGTTGAAGAGCAGTGTCATTATTTTCTAAAAGGGTTTCATGACCGCCTGGATTTAAATCTTCTTCTGGTCGATTTAATTGAGAATTGGGTAGTTGGCGTAATAGCTGTTCCACCTCCTCTCGGTCGGCTTCATCTGCGATAAAAGGGATTTCTTCTCGATCTCCCATTTGAGTAAGCCAACTCCCATTAAAAGCAATATTGTGCTTTCTGTAAAGCTCAGTGTTAACTAAATAACGAACAGCTTCAAGGACCCGAGCGGGTCGAATTGTTTCTGTCATGAAATTATGAGAATATTCTAGCTTCCTCTTAAGGTGAACCTGTATGACATGAGTCGAATCAAAGGAACGAGGAAGCGCGTTTACAGTATCAGGTACCGAAATCGGAACA